TAACAACCTATACTTTTAAAATTGCATGAAATAATGTAAAAGGAAAAAGTTTGGTTTAAAATTAATGTATAAAATTAATGTTCCTCGAAAAGTATCTACATTTTAAAAGTCTGCAGTGTTAAAAATTTATTATTGATTAGATACTTTATACCCACTTTACTTTGAGGGTGTTCAGCCTTGGATTCTTAATAAGATTCTATGGATTTCAGAAACCAGTCATCAATCTCAGTGCTTAAAGTAATGTTTTAAAAATACTATATTCAGCAATATTGTTGTGGAAATAGGGAATGATTGTTTTGAAATTTAGATTTCTTCTATTTCAGCTGGAGTATATGCTGTTATATTTAAAGGGATGTGACTGACAGTCAATTTACTGAACACTTAAATTTTAGGAACTCTCATAACATCAGTGTGGAAGTAGTTATCCAGTTCCATTATGCTTACCAGAACTTTTGTTTAAAAAAAAGAACATGTTATTTCATTAATTAATGAATTCAAATGAATTTGGATTTAGGCTGTATCAAGATTAGATTCTGCTACATATAATAGAAAATTCCAATGTAGTAGTAGAGGCAGTGTTTCTCATTTCTAAGTTTGGGGACATACCAAATTCCTTCTTCTTATTCAGAGATTATTATGAAATTCTTGGAAAGGTGGACTATTTTAATATGTTTGAATTGTAACAAACTGTCCTATGCTTTTAGAAATTACCATGAAACATAATTGTACATTACTGTTACTCCAAAAAATAATTTTTATATGCTTGTTCATTACAACATATTTTAAATATTATTCAGACACATTACATTTTAGATAAATCTACCAACTTAGGAATTACAGCTGTTTAGGCAACTATTATATTTTAGACTAAGTAGTAAATTCATTTATTTACATATCCTTTTGTGAAACACACTGTTCTAGAATATATTACCTCAGCGTTGTGAAAGGTATAACAAATTACGTGCCAGGGAACAACTGTTCTATGTTAAACAGAAGTTTGGAAACTCAGTGTCAGTTTGTCTTTGCTTTTTAGTTGATAACATTTATTGTGCTTATTTGAAACTAAAAGTGTTACATTTTCTACTTTTGGTAATATAGTTGGCTATTCAGACTGAATTTCTTGCTGAAAACAGCTAAGAGTACTGAATAAGGTATTTTAAAAGCATGGAAGAACTGACAAGATAGAAATTATCAGGTCAGAATCCAAGTGGACCAGTCCCATCTCCCACCTCCCCACTCGTTTTCTCTCCATGCCACTGGCTTGTTGCCAAAACTCAGTCACTTGTTCTCTAGAATGTCCCTCATCTGGATTTATCTGTTTGCTTCCTTGTGAAGATTTAATTTGTTCCTCTATGCCCCATATTTCTTATAAGTGGTTCCTAATAGCATTAACATAATTGCTTATTTGTATCATCCCACAGTAGTTTGAAAATAATACCAGTCTTGCTACAATTAGATTACAAAGTACTGAATAAAGTTTGATTTCTTTGCAGCTCTATTTGTTCTTGTATTTCACTAAGGATATATAATCAGTTCTGTGTTCTAATGCAACTTGAAGTAGTTGTTTTCTCTATATTTTTGTATCACCAACTTTACATAAAGTTAGGTTCATTTGTTTCAGTAGATTATCAATTTTTAGGGATTGCTTATGTCAAAACTATATAACAAGATATATTCAGAGAAATCTTGCTTCTCTGTCTCTTCTACCGTATTCTCTTCTTCTTCCTGTTGGTGACTATTTTTATTAGCTTTTGGTAGTATCTGAATAATATTTCCTTTTGCAAACATACAAAAATATGTATATATTATATGTTATCTCCCTTACATAAAAGATTTCATACTAGATACACTGTTACACATCTTGTTCTTTTTTTCTTAGTAATATATCTGGAAGATCCCTTTATATCATTATATAAGGATTTTTCTTATTCATTTTATGATGCATAGTACTCCCTTTGGGAATGTACCATGGTTTACTCAAATAGTTCCCAATTGGTGGGCATCTGGGTTGTTTCCAGACTTTTGCTGTTACAAATAATGCCACAATGAGTATCCCTTTCACCTAAGTAATTTTATATTTTGTCCAGTAAATCTTTGAAAAAAGATTTCTAGAAGCAGAAATGCTCTGTAAAAGGGTAAATGCATTTGGAATTTTTCTGGATATTACCATATTTTTCTCTATAGACTGTACCATTTTGCAGTCCCACCAGCAATGTGTCAGAGTGTCTAGTTCTATAGAGCCTCACTTTAGATTTTGTTGTTGAACTTTTAGATTTGTATCAATAAAGGTAATAGTATCTTAGTGTAAATTTAAATGCATCTCTTATTATGAGGAAGGTTGTATATCTTTATATGTGTTTTTAAGTACTATTTAGATTTTTTTCTTCTGTGACTTTTTTATGTTTTGCACATTTTTTTTTTTTTTTTACTATGTTTTGGGTCTTTCCCACCCCCCTCTGTATTTAGGAGGGGTTTTTTTGTTTTTTCTTTTTCTTTTTTTCATTTTAGAGATAGCCATTGACTTAAGTGCACATTTTTTTTTCCAGTTTGTCGTTTTCTTTTGATTTATTATGGTGGGTTTATATTTTGTTCTGTTTTGCTTTTTTGCCATTTAAAAGTTCTTTATAATTGGATTTTTCTTTTCTTTTTATTGCTTCTGTATTTTGAGTTTCAGCTAGGAATGGTTTTCCCATTTCCAGATTATAAAGGAATTCACTCATATTTTCTTCTGTTACTAGTATAATTTTATGTTTTATATTTAGATCGCTGGTCTCTTTAGTGTTTATTCCAATGTAGTATGAAGTACAGATCCAATTTTATTTTTTTCTAATTATATATCCAGTTATCTCAATACTTTTTCCCATCGATTGAGACTTGAGTCTGTATTAGATTTTCCATCTGTTCTATCGATCTGTTTTTCTAATCAGGTACTAATATGACAGTATTTCATTATAGGTGCCCAAATATTTTGCTGCTTTACTTTTTGGTCAGAACTAGGTAACAGCAACAATCACAGGTCACCCTCATCTAATTCATTGTGCTCCTACCACCAGCACCAAATGGAATACATGTGTGAATATATGTGTATTGAATGAAGGTAGGTGCTCTTTGGTCTTATATTAGTGAAAAGAGTGCTTAATTAAGAGTCAGGGAACAAACTCAGCTTTATATTACCTCTAAGCAAGTCACTTACTCTCTCTGGGCCTGTATTCTCAGCAGTTAACAGATAAAAGGAATTGAACTAGATGGTCATCTGGTTAATGCTGATCTGTTAAGAGCTCCACTGATATGTGGTATGTAGTTTTCCTGTGCCTTGTCCTTTCCCATATCCGTGAAATAAACTTTCTCTTCTCAATCCTGGTTCTTCAGTCTTTTCTGTAGGTTTTTCTTTGTTGCAACATTTTTTCCCTCCCGTGTTTCTTTTATTAGCTTCCATCTCTTTCTTCTGATTAACCAAGAATTGCTACTGTTTGGCTGCTCAACTTCCACTGACCTCAGTAGGGAAAAATTGCATGCAGTAAATGGGAATTATTTTTCCTTTGGCAGAGAAGTTCTTTAAAAAAAAAAAAAAAAGAAAGAAAGAAAGAAACCAGCTGCTGACAGTAGTCTGTTCTTTTGTTTTACAAAGAACAAAAGGAGAAAAGGCTGCCTGTAGTGTATGACGAAATCAGACAAGATTATAACCAGGTTATCAGTTCTTGATTTAGTTAAGAGACTTGGTACTTTCTTAAATCCCCCAATTACATCTTTTAAGAGGTCAGGAAAGAAGGTGATGAAAAAGAAGACCAAAGGTGTGGAAAGAGCCTGTTACGTAACGATTTTATATATGCTATGAGAAAGGTTATGGTGATTTAAGGCACATTAAAGTCTTGACCAAATATAAAATGTCTTATTTATACTAACTAGAATACTTAAAATTCAAAAGAATAGTAAATTCTTAAACTCCTGATTGCTGCCAGGTGAAAGTTCAAAGTTTGAAAAACACTCGAAAGAAACTAATGTGGAAGACAGAAGAGAACAATGTAATATGACAATAAACATCATGCTTATTCAGGAAGAATAAGTGACTCAAGGAAATATTTCTGAAGATAATAAGTTTTAATGGTCAGGAAGGGATGGCTTAAAAGATTTAAAGAGAAACATTGTATGTAAAATTTCAGTGTCCAAATGCCTGCTGGATTTTATTAAAGATGAAACTTTGTTTCTTAAACACCATGCTACAAATAAATACCATATTTTGTTCTGAAAAATCCCAGAACTGTGAGATTCTCCAGCATTACGCCACCACACTTCATTCTCTGTGAGTTATGGTAGGGGTAGGAGGAAAAATATGTGCTTGTTGGGCAAAGAAGTACTTCTGCAGGCACAGACTGACATCTCCATAAGCGCAGGTGGCTGAACACGCTCCACCTTGACTTTGACAAAGACTGGACCCATCTCTACTCTGATAACTCAGATTTATCACTTGTCAGGTAATGGATAAAGGATGAAATTCTGCATAAGGAATGTAGTTTAAGTTTAAATGTACAATGTCAGTCAGAAAGTGTGAGTTTAGTGAAGATTGAGAGCCTTCTGTATTTTGATACATTCTGTTTTTCCTGGAAAAATCATCCAAATTGGGAATTAAGCCATACATGTATTTTTTTCACTTTGTAAGATCTCGTTTTGTTTGGATTCTTAAGGAATATAAAGAAGAAACTTTTTAAAGAAGCTAGTTCCAAAATTTGTGCTCCCACAACAAGACAGGAAAATGTCTGCATTATACAGTACATGCTCATATTTTTTCAGGGTAAATGTCCCCAACCTAACCCCCCATTTTGATATTTTAATATGTTTGTTTTACTGTTTCCAGTGAGAGCTAATAGGATATTTCTCTGTTCTCAAAAATTTATTTCATCCTTGTGAACTTAGAATATTTATTTAATACTCGAGGTATTAATTTAAAACTTGTTTAAAACTTGATATATTTAATTTCTCAATTCCTCTACCTTAAACTTTGAAGTGAAAAAATAAAATTTTATTCAAAGTAACTTAATACACAGCATATCTACTGGATGACATTAAGTATACATCAATTGTTTCCGAAATGGTTATTGATATATACTATCCACATATTTAAATGTGTTATACATTAAAGTTAGGCACTATAGACAGTAAATAGATCACTATTATATATAAATTTTAAAAATAATAATAATTTCCACCTATGCACATGGGCTTTGATCATATTGCAGGTAGTTCCTGAATAAAAATCAAAATGGACTACCAGTTGCTATTTAATATATTTTATCACATAAAGAAAAACAAAAGATGAGTCCTTTAAGAAGGATAGAAAATCAGCTAAAAAGCAAGTTGTAATATTTATAACAGTTCTTCAGGTGGAGGTGGCAGGAATTCGTTGAGATCTTGATTAGAGTTTGGAAGAATAGAGAACTCCTGACATTGGATCTCACTGTTGGAATTTTCTGAATTTTCCATAAAATCTCCTGGTGGCAGGGGCAAGTTAAGTGAGTCAGTGGGAGGCGGAAATGACTCTTTGAACTGAGAGTTATAATCTTCACAGACTTGATTGAGACAGTCCAGAACTGGTGGGAGATTGGTGGACTCATTTGGAGGAGGAGATACAGTTGTCACTGTGGGCTTGTCGGATTGGTTACTCTCCTGTCCTTCCAAATCAAGGAGGGGTGGGGGCGGTGGAGGCAGATCTGCATCATCTGAAGAAGAAACAGCAGTGCCAATTGTTGATCCACCAACACTATCCTCCGATGTACCGTTTACTTGATCTTTTATTTTCTCTGTTTTGGGGTTGTTGGACTCTACAATGTTTTCACTTGATTCAAACAACTTAATTTCTAAGTCATCTGCTAAAAGTGCGCTTTTGTTTGGTTTCCAGGCCATAAGTGAGATAATCGATGTACGTTTTGTGGGTACTTCATTTTCTCTAATGTTATCCAAACATATGTCAGGAGTTTCACCATCAGCGAATGGAGACCTGCCTGCCCAATTCTGATCATTTGAAGCTGATTTTCTCAAGCATTTGCCTAGTACAATCATGGTTATTGCTGCCAACATACAAGTCAGAATTACACCAATTAATATGGTAGCTAATAAATTAGAATTGGTTTTATGCAGGGTGTTTTTTTCACTGGTAGCTTCCAGGTTGAATCCTGGTGTAATCCTAGGTGACCTTTTGATAGCTGGTGTTAGTTGTGTGGGTAGATTTTGAACAGTTGGTGTTACTGGTTTTCTAGGAGAGGTATGAACAGATGATGGTTGTTGAGTGGAAGTATAGGCAGATGGTGGCAATTGTCTGGAGGAAGTATGGGCAGATGTTGGTGGTAGTCTGCCAGAGGTGAACATGGGTGGTGCTGTCCATTGGGAGGAGGTGTCAGCCGTTGGTGTTGGTTGTCTGCTGGTGTTATAGGCAAGTGGTTGTCCGGCAGAAGTGTGTGCTGCTGGTTTTCCAGAAGAGGCATTGACAACTGGTGTTGGGTGTCCAACAGCAACTTTGGCAGTTGGTATTGGTTGTCCAGAAGGAACGTTGAATTGTGTTGCTTGACCCAAAGGATTCCCCGTCGTGTTTTGAGAATTAGCTGAGACATATGGCATTGATGATCCAAATAAAGTAGATTGTGGTTGTTGCTCTGTTATAATTGCTTCTGTCTCTGAGAAAAATATATTGTTCAGGTGTCCACAAAACAAAATTAAGATGAAATATTTGGGACCCATTTCAGAATGTTTTCCTCTTTACCAGTGGCTTCATAATGAAAGAAAGGAAGACAATTAGATCTCATTTGATGTCTGGCATAAAGTAGGTAGGTACTTGATAAGTATTTATTAGTTCTAATTTAAACTTGATAAACTGTAGGCTAGTATAAATAATTTTTGAATATACTCTAACTTATCATATAACATTTGGACCTCATAGGCAGTGATTTCTCTTAATTCTTTCATAAGATCTGTACTTGGCCCTGCTGCTTCTCTAGCTTCATTACATTATAGTCCTACATTTCACTCATACTTCTCAAATACATAGATAGGCTCTGTATGCTGGTTCCATGTGCTCTCTCTCTACTTTTCCTCCCTTTACGACTTGAAGTATACTTCACTCTCTTTTTTTCTCTCTCTTGACCATATTTGACACTACTGACTCTTCTGTCACTACTACTCAAGGAGCTCTTGTAATAGTCTTCATGTTAATCTCACAAGTTTCTGTTAATCTCTTGCCTCCTAAATGTGGGTAGTTGATATTCAGTCCTCATCTTATCTACTTCGTTTTATCCTGAATCTGTAAGATTTCAACTCTCATCTTTATGCTGTAATTCCCAAACTTGTACATCCAGCCCAGATGTACAAGTTTTAATGCTAGTCCTATTCATATGACTTCTTGGTGAACATTTCCATATTGTATACCCACTGTCAGCAAATTCAACATATTTAAATCAATTCATCTTCATCTCAAAACTGACTCCTCTCCCTACTTCTCTATTTTTAATGGTACTACCTTTGTACATTTCTTCTGTACAGTCTATTATATTAGTAATCTTTGTAGCAGCAGCATTGTTTAGCACTATATCTTTATGTTAGGATCTCATATTTTTAAAGGATTTGGGAGTCCTATCCAGTTGGTCAAGTAGTCCTGCTGCTACTTTCACTCATTTGTTAATAAACCTCATCTTTGTGGCAGGACCTGTTCTAAGTTTAGAAGATACCAAACAAATAAAATATTCTAGTGGTAGAAACAAACAAGTAATGAATAATTATAATAATTTGATGAGTTTTCTTCTAAAGGTATGCAGGAGATACACAGAGGAACTAATCTAGCCTAGGTGGGCTTAAGGGAAGGTTTCTCAGAGAAGTAAAACTTGAACAGAATCTTGAAAGGTCTGTAAGAATTAATTAAGCAAATAAAATATTCCAACCATGGGGAACAACGTATAGTCATGGGAAAAGAAGGCACGTATAAGTTTGGCAGGTAGGACTTTTTGTGGTATGTAATAGATGCTAAAACTTGAAGAGTTAAGTTCCAGTTCTATTTCTGCCACCTAACTTCCCATCTACCCCTGAGAACTAGTCATTTAATCTCTCCTGTTCTCAATTGCCTTAATTCTAAAGTGAGAAGTTATACTAGCCAGTGTTCAGCTTTGCATGTAATATACTTGTTTTGCATATCATTAAACAGTGGTAACTAGTTATTTCTTAACGTTAGGGAAAGGAAAATCTCAGGGTGTTAGATCCTAGTTGACACGATTAGAAACTAAAGATTTTCTATGATTCGTAGGCCAATCTGAGAGAGACTTGATGTTCTGTGCAAGGTATAATAAAAAGAGACGAGGAGCTCCCTCAGCTTTTGCAAATAAATTTTCAGCATATTTGAGTAGTTTTCATTGCTTACTCCTCTACCACTTGATACACAGTGATGATAAATTATTTTAGTAGGAAAAAAGACGTGAATCTTTTCCCCTGTACAGTCTTTTAATTTTCTCTAATACTTCAAGCCTAAATTTAAAAATATTTCTCCTTTAAACACTCTTGCACATAACCGATGCATTAATCTTCTTAAAAGCACATGTGATTGGGTTACTTCTCCCTTGCTTGAGGGTTCCTCATTGCTGTGAAGATAAAAATACTGAACTGTTTTCTTCTTTCTCACTTGAGTTTACCAGTACTGACTCATCTCTTGACAGAAACTTCTCAGTCAAATGTACCTCTTCCCGTCTTATGTACTTCTTAAACACACAATTTCTTTCATAGACCAACACTGTTAATTACACTGTTTTCACCCACCTAGAGTGTGTTCTTTTTTCCAAACTCAGCCTCTTCCCCCTTCTGACTGCCTGTCTGAACCTATCCTCATCTGTGAGACCTCAACTTAAATTTCCCTTTCTTAAAGCCAAGTTCTCTGTGACTGACTACAGCCCACAGAAATCAGCCATTCCCTGAATTCCCCTAGTTCTTGTTGTCTTTATGGTTCCTCAAATAATTCTTCATGTATATACCTCACACTTTATTCTCTTAAATAATTGTTTTTATTACTCAACTTTTCACATTTTCTTTTTATTCTCACTTGCTCAAACAAGATGATAAAGAACCTTGAAGAAGGCAGAAAGAAACAAAAATACTTATCTGAAACATACTATGTGCTGTACTGTCCCAAGTGTTTTCCATACTTTATTTCATTTAACCTTTAAAGGACTCTATGAGAAGAATAGAAGAATCCTTGCTTTATAGATAAAGAGACAGATTCAAATGTGTTGCAGTTTGTCCTGTGTTATATCACTATTAGTGACAGACTGGGACTTCGTATCCAGGATCATCTGGTTTCAAAGCATATGCTCTTTCTACTACTCTAAACTGCCCCTTCTTTTTACATTTCGATTCTTTTACAGCAGAGTACCATATATGAAAGAAAGGAGCCTAGTAACATTTAACCTTCTTGGTTCCTTTCCATTTCACTTTTCACTGTTTATTAATACTTTTACCAGAATGTGAGCAGAGAAGACAAGATCTGAGTTATTAAATTCTGCATTTTATCCATTTTGCAAAAGGTTTAATAGAGAAAAAATTGGAAACTGTTGGCATAAATATGGGGATTTGAATCATCTCTAGATAATTATCATCCATACAGTTCCTACCTGTTGTTCTTACAGATTCCTACCCTGCCTCCCAAGGAAAGGCCTCATCAGCAAGTGGTGTTCTTTAGAGTTTCACCTTAGTTTTTTAAAAATGCCATCTAAAGCAACAGAAAATATAGGCCATGAATTATCTTCAGCCAACAATATTGCTTCTTTTGTGACTTTGCTTAAAATTTTTTTAAAAAACAACATGGTTCCTCTT